GTGTGTGTGTGTGTGTGTCCGTGTCCGTGTGTGTGTGTCCGTGTCTGTGTGTGTGTCCGTGTGTGTGTGTGTGTGTGTGTGTGTGTGTGTGTGTGTGTGTGTTATGAGTGCATGTACACATTTTTTTGTTATGTTTCTTTTACTGAGACAAAGTCTCACTCTGTTGCCCTGGATGAACTAGAACTTGATACTTAGACCAGGTTGGCCTCGAACTCACAGAGATCCACCTGCCTTTGCCTCCCAAGTGTTGAGATTAACCACTTGCACCTCCAACCACACTCGGCCCACATTTTTCTGTGTGAATGCAGACACATACATAGTGTGCTTGTGGGGGTCAGAGGGTAGCCTTGGGGGTCAGTCATCTTCAACCGTGTTTGAGACAGGGGCTCTGTCCTCCTGCTGCACATGCTAGGCTAACTGGCTGTCAAGCTTCTAGGAATTCTTGTGTCCTGTCTCCGCTCCCCACCTCTCCCTAGGAGCACGAAGATTGCAGACTCTTGAACTACTGTGTCCAACTTTTCCACACAAGTTCTGAGGATCCAGACTCAAGCAGATCCTCACATTAGCAGGGCAAGCGCTCCTTCCCAGGGAGCCATCTCCCTATCCCGGGTTTGTTCACCTCCACTCTGCCTTTTCTATCCGGCTTCATAGATGTTTAAATGTTGTTACCAATTACTTTACTTCTCAGAATCAAGAAACTTCTGCTCCTCAATATAGTATATATTTTGTTTTGTGATTTTTCTTTTGTCTTAAAATGGAACTCCTTGGGGTTGGGGATTTAGCTCAGTGGTAGAGCGCTTGCCTAGCAAGCACAAGGCCCTGGGTTCGATCCTCAGCTCTAAAGAGAAAAAAAAAAAAAAGGAACTCCTTGTGGCTGAAGAGGCAGGTCAGTGGTTACGAGCACTGTATGGTCTTCTTGAGGACCCAGGTTTGGCTCCCAACACCAACTGTCTGTAACTCCAGGACTAGGGGATCCGATGGCTACTTCTGACCTCTGTGGACACCAGGCAAACACATACATGCAGACAAAATACCCATACAGATGAAATAAATAAATTCAAATTTTTAAGTTAAAATAAAAAATAGTAATTCTTGATTAAAATATTAAGCACTCTTGGAATGTGATTAACTATACCCAAGCCACAGGAAGGGCACCTGGATTATTGCCAGCATTAAGCATAAACTATGAGGTCGTTCTATAGATTCTAGACGCCAAAATGACCTCTAGTTAAACCTAGCAGTCCTCAATTTACCAAATTAATTATGTTTTCAATTTGCCTGCTGTGATCTCACCGGCTCTCGCGGTAATCTTTGGTTGTTGCTGTATTCCCTTTCTCTTGCAGAATCAACACGAATCCGACAACACTAATGGAAGCCATCAGTCAGCATGCCCCCTCCATGTACTAGTTCCAGAAATTCCACCATAATGTAAACTGTGTGTTCAGACTTGGTGAATACGTTATATTGATTCTCAAAGACTCGTGAAAGAACTTAGCATTTAAAAAATAGGGGAAGCTGTAACTAATTACAGAATTTTTCTCTAACCTGTAGTTCTAGGTTCTAAATTTTGAAATCATAAATTTGTTTTTAACCAATGCTTATATATATTTTTTCTGGCCACCAACCTTCTATTTATTCTATTTGCACTAGCTCATATTTCTTTGGGCAGGAAGTGCTTCCTCCCCAATGCATGTACCCCGAGTCAGACTGTGAATTAAGTACTACATGCTCCTCTACAACTAAAGGGCAGCAGAGGCTGCTACTTGCCCATAGCGGGGCAGAACTAGCCAAGGGCAAGTGAACACTGAAGTAGCAAGTGAAAACCTGAGAGTGAATATCCCCTTAAATTCCACCCCTCAGGGAACACATGTGCCTTATCCTGACCTCTGCTCTGACCCCTAGCATCCACACTCTTTTTCATCTGTAGTAACCGAACGCCCCAGGGTTTCAGTGTGGAGACCACACTTACTAACTTTAGTCCAGATCTGTGTATATGTGGCGGTTAGCAAATGGGAAATGAGTGGAGACAGTGAATGCAATTTCTTGGTTGCGTTCTTTTTTAAAGGAGGTTGCATGGCTCCTCAGTTCTCTGCCTCCGGTTAGTGAAGTAGCTGAAGACTGTGGCTAAGGTCTGTCTGGAGGTGTGTCAGAGTGAACACAACAAACTGAGGACCTTGGATGACACGGCCCAACAGACTGCTTTCCTGCCTGGAAGTGCAGCCTGTATGAGAGAGAAAGACTTTTGATTCTCTGTATTTTGGAGTGTTACTTGCTCTTGTCCACGAGGGTGGTTACTTCTCCTCCTTCTCAAAAAGTTGAATTGTAAGCAGACTGAAACCTAGGAGGGAGATCAGTTGCAGCTGATTTCAGTGACTGCCCAGATCCTAACAAGTCCTGAAGCCAGAACGACCTTTTCCAGAATGACAGTTTAGTTCCTGCCAATTTCCAAACTAAGTTTGACAGATGTTCAGTTGATTTTGTGACATACCTGTTATCCTTTCAACAAACCCCACTTGTTTAATTTTGTCCGAATTCATTTTACAATTTGGAGCAATACGTGTCTCCATACTTTTCATATTTAAAAATATTTCCTAATGAGGAAGTTTCTAGCCCTGAAATTACTGAGTCAGCATTCTCATTCTTGGTAGGTTTTTCTGTCTTTTGATTTAAATATCTTTCTATGAAATTTCAGAGGCAAAACTATACAGAAGAGTTCTTCACACTTTCCCAAGATGGTAAAAGTAATTGTTTGTATCCTATGGTGGGCATTTTAGGATGAAAAAAAAAGTGAGTACTTTTTATTCATATGGCCTGCTGTGGTGGTGAGCAGCTATTATAATTGTTTCAGGGAAATGATTATACCTGGATCTTTAGTAAAGCTAAGTTGCCAACGTTAAACAACAGGACAATAACTTTATCCCCAGTCCAGAGCTGGGCATGCATGTGCATACACAGTATGACTGTGCTGGCAAGGTGCCACCATGTCTAAGGAAGGGAGGACAAAGGATACAGAGAACAGAACTGGACTAGGGATGGTCACCTGCCAGTGACTCACCAAGCTGAGGCTTTGACTGGAGCCATCATGGGGACCACAGAGTCTTCCAACCGAATCTGTAGTTTCCAACCGAATCTGTAGTTTCTTTTACAAATTAGAAAGCAGTTGTTCCGTGTGTTGTGTACTTAAGCTCACTGTTCTGCTTTGGAGGTCCAGCTGCTAACAATGAACTCAGCTGTGGATGTTAATAAACACATGTTTGAAATCTGTTTCATTCTTTCATTTAACTTTGTCTGGGAACGTCTGTTTTTTTTTCTTTTAATCAAAGTTTTTATTACAGTATACAAGTCCCTTCATAAGGTAAAAGTCCATCACTTCTGAACCTGCTGTTACAGTTTTTCTCACTCTCCCAACTCTAAAATGCCATTCCCATTCCACCCTGGAACATCTTTTAAATGCTGTGACAAATGCATCATTATGACTGGAGGGCGTTAAGTATAAAACCAGGACAGAAGTTGATTCTGACAAGTTATTTCTTTTTTATACAAGAGTATAAATTGAGGCATGGTGGCACATGCTTGTGGTTCTAATTCTTGGGTGACAGAGGTAGGGGGGTTAGTAATTCAATTCTCTGTAACATAGCTAGTTACAGAGTACCCTGGGCTACCAGGGGCCCTGTCTCACCAATAACAGGAAGAATAACATGAAACAAAGTACAAAAAGTTCATCTTTGACTCACTGAGACTGACTTCTGTTGGGAAGATCTGAATTACTATTGTTCAAGAATAATTTTATAATGTGGAACATTTAATTTGCTTATTAAGAATATGGTAAGTGTAGCCTGTATTAAATGAAAAACATACTTGTGAATTTTCATGGCTATCAAGTCAACCACATTCTAAAATCATTAGCAACGCTACTTAGTTTAATGAGATTAGTCCTTTTCATATTTAAGATAAAACTATTTAATTTGTTTACAAAGAAACTAGGAATACCTTACTTTTCCTGTAAGCATTGGGATTTATATATTTTTTTTCCTGCATGGACTTAGCCATAGATTGAGTACTTTACACATTTTTTCTCAGGGGATGATAAAAATATGACCTCTGAAAACCACAAAGGTTTTATTTTGTTTATGTCATGTGTGTGTTCATAGACCTGTTCCATTGTATTGTTGTGGTGACCAGAGGATAACACTTGTTCTCCGATCTGAGTCTATCCTACCACCTTATGGGATCCTACACTCAAACTCAGTTCCTCAAGCCCACTTGCAAGCAGCCACTGATCCATCTCACCAGCCTGAAAGGTTTTTCTAAAAAGGTTTATTTATTGAGTTTTTAGTAAGTGTATCTATTATAGTTTATGAAATCTAAAAAGGAAAGATCTGTACTCTGTACCATTTAATATTTATTCATCCAAGAAAGGTGCATCTATTAAGCACTTGCTGTATACCAGGCAGCAAGTAAAGCAAAGGATAAAAGAAACGTCCTGTTTTCAGAATCTAGTGAAGAGTAGCATACAGTAAATATAAAAATTTGTATATTTAGATCTGCATATACACATATGCATCCTGTATATGTTACTTTTCTGTCACTGTGATAAAATACCATGACAAAGGCAACTTAGAGAAGGAAGAGTTTATTTGGGCTATGATTCCAGAGATGAGCGTCCATCACAGCTGGAAGCCATGGCAACTGGCAGGCGTAGAAGGCAGAGCAGGAAACTGAATGGTCACATCAACTGTAAAGCAGAGGGAGAGAACTAGAGTAAAGTGAGGATACCAAACTCTCCAATCCTGCCTCCAGTGATGTACTTTCTCCAGCAAGGCCACACCTCCTAAGCCCTCCCCAACAGCACCCCAAACGAGGGACCAAGTGTTCCAACAACTGAGCCAATGGGGGACATTTCTCATTCAAACCACCACACATCCATACACAAATTAGAAGTTGGGTGATGGTGAAAGACCCCCGCTCCATTATGAGGACATGGGGCTTTGGGCCAAT